AGAGAGAGAGAGAGAGAGAGAGAGAGAGAGAGAGAGAGAGAGAGAGAGAGATGCATAGGCCATTGTATGGTATCTCAAAGTGCAGATTTGCTTCTTATCCACCTTTTTCCTCACGAAAAGTGCAGGGACCACCGGTTCATACGGTGGAAATACAGGAGGGAGCATACTCACCCTCCTCATCACATCTTGCTGGGATGCAATACCTTTGTTGCTTCGTGTTTGCTGGCAAGGCGTATCACCTCTGCTGGGATTTGCTGGGCCTCGGAGATATATGGGGATGAACAAAGTTCTGCTTGTGGGAGCGAAGTTTCCAAATATGTGTGTTGAAGACTTGTCGCTGCGTTCCTTTCTTACCAACAATTGGCACTACCGTCTTTACCCGAATATAACGCCTGTTCAATAGTCGGGGCACTTTTCAGTGCAGATGCAGCGATGACGACCGGGCCTATTTGGGTGAAGACGGTAGTTTCATTGCCAAGTTCCATTGAGCGAGCGAGATGTGTTTTATCCATCGACCACCCTCAGAGACTTTCGCTCCGTAAGTTAAGCACATTAGGTCTCTTCTTCTCGTTGTTGAAGATACTCGTAGCTAAGAACTCGCTGTGAAGACTCAAGCTCATCTTGAAGGGGATAAGGTCTCTTCTCCCCATTCTGCGTGCCCTTTTTCTTGTCCTCTTCTTTTGCTTCATCATTAAAAAGCATCTTGTCCTTTTTCGTGCTCTTGTGGTTTTCGAGTGACAGATTGATATGGACACGATTGAAATTAGCAATTTGAACCGTCAGTTTCTGTTTCGTCAACGTCATGTGGGAAAGCCCAAGGCAGAGGTAAGAAATGATACAAGTGCCCAACCTTCTGATGGAAATCTGGTTCGTGGGGTTATCTGATTCTCTTTCGGTGTGTACATGCTGTCAGCACAACCTTCCACTTTCACACTCCTCGTGAACCTTAAGAATTTGAATGGTTGTCCCTTTTGAACCGGCTATCCCCAGTGCTAAATGTGTGCATGCTATCTTGTGTTCCCCTGTCAGAGACTGACTTGACTTGACTTCACGCTCACTTTTCTTTTCCGTGTACTTCGTTTGTGTTCTGCTATTGCTTACATAATGCAGTGTAGTGAGGTGGAGAATATGTGGTGTGGGGGTGGTGGGGGTGGATAAGGTGGGGATAAGCACACACA